TGAATTAGTGTCATACTGTGAGGCCCTGACAGCTGGTCGTGCAACTGAAGCGCTGCTGTGCACTATGTGGGGGGAGGAGCTGATGAACAACAGCACCTTTGACCGGGTCATCTACGGTGACAATGCCGCTGCAATTGCTCTGGCCCATGGCAACAGTGCAGCTTCCTGGAGGACAAGGCATTTGAGGGTAAGGTCCAATTTGCTCCGGGAGGCCCTTGAGAACAGCAGCTCGTACCCTGGGGGAGCATGGAAGTTGATGCACCTTCGTGGCACTGAGCTTGTGGCTGATGGACTCACGAAGCCGCTCCTGGGTCAAAGTTTTCAGAATTTTCTGTGTGATTTGGGCCTCAGGGTGGAGGAAACTAGTGTGAGGGTGTTTGGGGCGGAACATCGACCTCCTCAATTACAAGAGCAAAATGGGGCTGATCGACGACATCCTCAGCTACCAGATCAAATGGGGGCACTTCGAGCTTTGGCAGCGGGTAGTGTGCTCGCGCATGTGGCTGAGGCGCAAGGAGACGTGGAGAAGGACTCGACCATCGGGGCCCTGTGGATTTGTGGTTTGATTTTGATCGCCATAGGGGCAATCTGGGTTTGCAAAGCTGTATGTACGTCAGCGTGCTGCTGCTTGCGGCGATTGCAGAAGGTGATCATCGAGCCGCTGGGTTCGCAGAGCCATAGTGAAGGGGATGAGTCAGAAGCCACTCCGGCCGAGCCACAGAGAAGGAGATCAAAAGATCAAAGTTCAGCTGCAATGGGTGAAAGTCCTCCTTCGGCCGAAGAGTTGAATGAGGCTGGAACACCTTCTGAAGCTGAGCCACGCTTAAGAAAAAGGGGATCGAGGGCGCGAAGTGCGGAAGGAACTATGTCCAGGCCGAGCTCTACGCCCTTGACACGAAGGCGACAGTCGGGCTCGGCAAGCAGATCTTTGTCGCGATCCAAGGGGTCGCAAGCGGGCGTGGCTGTGAATGAGGCTGTGAACTGTGCAGCTGATGGAGCGGAGAGGGCAGCGCTGAGCGCTGAGATGGCCGCGGCAGCAGCTGGGCGAGCAGCCGTTAGCGCTGAGCGTGCTTCGATGCTGCTGCATCAGGCTTTGACTGGCCCTGTGACGAGACCGTCACCAGCAAGGCGCAATACAGCGCCTGGAAACCCATGGAACCGGTTCCAACAAAAACACGCCGGACGTGGGTGGAGTATGGACAAGATGAGAGCAGAGTACTTTAAGGCAAAGTGCCAAAGTACCATGCCTTGAGCCAGGCATTTTGCCTTTCATACCCCGTATGGTTTCGGCAATAAGCCGAAAGGGGGAGTCTGACGGTGAGACCACCGCGCACAGGCATTTTTTGTCCAAGTAAAAGGTGCGAGTTTTGTTCGAGCTTGGAAAAGAGACAGATGTTTTGTTTTGTTTGTTTGGTTGTTTGCGGCTTTTGAAGAAATAGATGTTGGTCGCTTGGCCCACCTCCGGACGATTCCTGGTTTCAAGACCGGTTTTGTACAGAGTTTGATTGAATTCATTGTTGGATTGGAGGGTGAATCAGACCAAGAGGGTTGGGTCTCTTTTTATGAGCTTGTTGTTGCTTTTCGGAGCTTTCATGGTAGGGTCCTTTGTGAGTTTGATGATGACACCCCCATCAATCAGTGGCTTCCTGCTACCTTTGCCGCTGAGTGCAGATCTTTTAGGAAGGCCCGGCGAGTTGCGACGCAGTTTCTTGGCATCACGCGTGACCTCGGATGGGTCGATCTTACTGAAGTTGGTTTTGGTGGTCAGGCGGTTCGTGTTGGTTCGTGTTGGTTGGCCTCATAGGGTTGAGTGCTGGTGGTTTTGAGTGCTCGACCTGGTTCTTTGACACGTTTTCGACCTATCCCGAGTAGTCAGGCCCAATGGCACTGACCGATGGCACTGTCGAGTGGTGGGGGCTGCCCAATGGGTGCTTCCCGGCCGTGCGGTCTTGCGCGGGGGACGTAGCTCGATCGACTCGACAGTCCGCGTGATTTATGAATAAATTGTGATTTACTATACTGCTATGATATTAGTTTAGAAAACTTCACTCAATCAACTTGTTTTTACATTATTTTCACCTAACATCCAGAACTGGGTAATACCAGACTCCACCCATCCAACCACCATCCCCCCTCGAAAGAGCCCACTGGAAAACGCTCGCCCCATCTGCCCAGATCCGCGGCCGCCACGGCAAAACGCCGCTCTCTGGGCCTCCCCGACGCCACCGCGGAGGTCCTGTAGCGCGCCTTGGGCACGGAACCCTTCACCGGCACGATGGACCTCGCGGCGCGGCGGTCGGGGAATCGGATCGACGTCGGTGGTGGCTCCACCCTCCGTTCCCCGTCTTCATCGGATGCCTATCCGCATGGTTTATCAAGTTCGGGGTCGCCAGCAGGGGGAGACCAGAGCACCAGAACCCCAAGCTCGTATGATTCGGGGTTACAGGAAGTGGATGGAAAACCTTATCTGGACCCCAAATAGATAGAAAAGTAGATCCCCGCTAAGAATGTATTGCAAACCGTGCCACTATCTATCGGATACAACCAACGCCCGCTCATCTTCCAAGCTCGCCTGCCCACAACTCCAAACATGACAGTTTGTTGGTGTGTCCATTTTCCGGCGCCCTCGTGTGTCCCGTGTGTTTCACGGTGCTGGTCTTCTCGGGTCTCCTCCTCTTCTCAGGTGTCCGGTCTGAGCGGCTCTGAGCGTCCGGTTGAACCTAAAAACAGACCCTCGTCCTCAAGCAAGCCGGTTCCCCGCCCCAGCGGGAAACCGCCCCAGCGGTGGGTTTCGGTGCGGAAATTGAAGCGATCTCGGTTTCCGCGTTTTCGCCGTCGAGGGGCCACTTCCGCTGCGGGAAGTTGTAGCGATGAAAATCGCTCCTGCGACGAAGGGGACGGACGGACGGACGGAGATGCCGAGCGAGTTCGCGCGGTCCACCGGGGGGGCACGGCGGAGCCAACCCAATGGACCGAGTTTTGGTATCTTGAAACATCATGTATATATAATATATCTTCTTGACACATCATATGATGTATCATACCTTTGCTTCATAATATACAATCCTAAAGTCTTATAACACCATATTTGAGGGGAGCACTGCTTTGAGGCGTCTTCGGGGTCTCAACACCCAATTTTGGAAGGATAGTGGAGCAGTCACCACCCGGATTGGAGCCACCTGTGCTCGAGAATCAGGTGTTGAAGTTTGCTGGCATGAAAGACCCACTGTGGTCTGGATGAAAGATCTAGTCCAGCCTAGTCCACCTGTCCCTAAAGATCTTCGCTAGTCACTAGGTGGTCTGGGCCCACCTTGCAGTTCTACCATGTTCTAATAGTTACCCTTTGTCTTCGGCCACGGGGAGACGTCTCCCCAACAAAGGTGAGAAAGACCTGCCTCTTCCCACCGCTGCGGTCGGCCAGCCCATTCGGTCGTCCGGTGGACTAGCGCAGCGGCGCACTCGCGCAGGACTCGCGCACTCGCTGCGGTCCTGTAGTTCCCATCGTATCCGGCGAAGATATACATGGATCCATCGTACTCGACGCCCGAATGGCCTTGGGACAGTGGTGAAAAGTACGAGACTTGGAGGGGCCGGCGGGGAGTGGATGGGGAGTGGCTGAACAGCCACATCGTTGGACTCTTAGCCACACTGCACCTGTGGTGACATCTTCGCGCTCCTGTGACATCCTACGGCGTAGGAGCTCCCATTCTCTGCATATCGCAGTGAAAAAAATGACCTTAAGTGGAGAGTGGCCCAGCATTCCAAATCTTGCAATTAAATCATCTCAGAGATTGGTCATTAGAAGATTAATCATTATTAATCTGAATCTTGAAAAAAATACACGCTCACAACAGTCCCTTCTCAAACACATAAGGTTCAAACATCAAAAAAGCGCTGCCAACCATTCTCAGCACCATGAGGGGGGTGACTCTCGACAGGGGCCACGTCGACCTTAGGGCGTCGACCTTGTGACCGGTCAGCACAAGGAATGCTTCACCCATTCCAGCGATCGAGAGGCGCCTCTCTCTTCCAACCGCCCCGAGATGCGGAAAAAACCGGGCGGCTTGAATGGAGTGATTCATAGTGATCCTGTGTGATCCTCCAACTGCCAGCTGCCGCTTCGATCCGAATGTACATCACCCACAGGTGCCTAACTGGAACCCTACACTCCTCGCAAATCATCTTGGGTACAGTGTCGTTCACCACCTGGGGTTGGTCTTCACCGGTGCTGAACCACATGGACCATGCTTGGGGCCCCCCGGGGGTTTGCCCATCCACGTCAAAGGGTCGGGTCCAGGCCCGGAGTCGTCGCTGGCTCCGGGTGTCCCCAACTGTGCCGTGGAGTGGGTGGGTTCCCAAGAGCGGCATCCACCATCTGCCAGGACTGGCGGGCGGGCGGAGGGCGGAGGGTGGTTCCGGATGGCGGTTCCGGATGGCGGTTCCCGGGTCCGGGGGTGGGTCCAAAGCTCTTCGAGTTCTGCTTCAAACAAAGAGCTATACAGTGGTTTAGCAACTCAACCAACGGGGAAGAACAACATCAAGAAGTGACGACAGGAGCCTCGGCCTGTTAAGAGCTCAGTCTGAGTCAGTCGAGCTGGTCGCTGGGGTTTTTGCAGCAAAACAACTGGAAAACCTTGGCATGAGGTTTGTATAGTAGGTGAGTCTTCTTTATATGTTTCTATGACAGTACAGCACATTGATGTGCATTGCAAAACACTTCAGTACGCTCTGTGCGATGTCAGTCGGCAAACAAGTGATGAGTTCCCAAATCATCAACCTGTCAACCCCCCCCAAAAAAATGAAAAGCAAGTATATATCTAATAGCCATGCTCTTCTCCGAAATTCTGAACAATGGTGAGGCCCCAAGATAGCACCCAAAAGCGTGGGTGATTTACATCATGCTCGCACTATCTCCCACCAACATCGGACTGCGTTGACTCATCCGAATTCACTTCACCTCAATTCCGATGTGGTGCCCGGTGCCCCAGCAAAATCATGTTGTGGTGAAGACCCCAGCAGCTTTTGGAGCAAAAGATCTTCGACCGCTGAAATCTCCATCCAAAAACGACGACTTGCCGGTCTTCGGACATGCCCCAGTGTTTCCAGTCGGCCGCGTGCCAGTCGGCCTCATGTTCGGTGTCATATTGCCAGAAATCGTTGACGCGGTTGTTCCCGTCGTATCCGGCGAAAATATAGATCTTGTCCGTGTAGGACCTCCGCACATCGGGCGGAGAAAAGCGGAGCCCCACCTTTCCCCCCGCGTGTGTGGAATCGAGTGTGAGTCAAGCAGGGCACATGATCCGTCCCGATGTGTTGTTTCAAACGAGTGGAAGTGCCACTCATCGGCTCCGGTCCATGCCATCACCATCACCAGCTCGGTCTCCCCAGCTCCCCAGCTCATCTTGAAGTCCATCCGCTTCAAAACTGGACCTCCATCTACCTAATTTGCTCCTACCAGACCTGAACCAAACTGCCCCAATCTACACCCCACCGTTTTTGGAGATGACACCCAAACCCACCAAACCCCCACCTGGCTCCGCCTTCACCATCTCCCGCCGTATCGTTCCTTCGCCGTCCGTCCCGTCTCCGTCCGTCTCCGGGCGCCCCCAGCACGACCACATGTCGATCACGAGCGGTGGGCTGACCTGCACAGCACAGCCCTGACCGCAGACCAGGTGAGCTGTGTGCGGCTGACCGCTGGGTCAGCTGGGGTCTGTTTCACACAGGGGAGGTGAACAAGCACAAGCTGTCACAAGCCCTCCAAGGGTCCATCCGAACAGCGAGGCTTTTTCCGGAGAAGTGATTCATGTCAGGACATGGTGCACCGCTATGGATTTGCTCCCTCAACTATACCTGTAACTACCACATGCAGAACCAACAGGAACCGATTTCCTGCAATGGTTCCGTTGATCTGAGCAATTGGCAGCTTGTTTCACCCTCTGCAGTCCCAGCGATAATGCAGACAGGATTTCTGGAAAGAAGAAAAGCTGATGAACGTCAATTGCCCAGATTCCCCAACGACAAGCACAGTTTTCATTCTGGTAGATGCACCACACGAGCCCAAAGAAGAAAGACGCCACTAGTAGCACCTACCAAGAAGCTAGTAGTAACAAGTGCCACGCTAGTAGTAACAAGTGCCTTACTAGTAGTAACAAGAAGCTAGTAGTAACAAG